CGGAATTGAAACTCGTAGAACGAATTTAGAATCAAGAAGCAGTGTTAGATTTTAGACAATATCTCAACAATTTGTGACTCTTTATCAAATCCAATGGTACGTATGGAAAGGTGAATAAATTTGCAAGTCATCTTTGACAGAAATATTCCATTTTTTGTCTAAACTCGTTCAGAACAGAGAGGTAAAGCGCGGGTTGTGCTTAGTAGGACGGAAATTAGATAAAAACCCTATCATAATATTTTTTTTTTTCATTCGAGGTCTTGGAACCTAAAAATTTGCTTGGGTTGCAGGAACATGACGTTTGTTGAAGGCCATTAGATCGAACGTTAATTGGGTGTTAGACCCAAATATTGTAAAGTAAGAATTGGTCTAAACCAGTGGCGTTTCTTTAACCTCAATCTATCTGTGCACCAACTCTCAAAACATAAACAATTAGGGAAAATGGATGTAGCCCCTAATTTGGGCCCATACATAAGTTCAGCAAGCGACTAAATTTGCAATAGCGACCAAAAATATTCATTAATATCGTCCCAATGACGCGTTCATCTAGATAAAATTGATAAATAGCAGATTTTTAGCAATGGTCCCAATCTGAGAGCCATTTCCCCTATCAAAATATTGTTTGTAATGGATAGAAATCGAGTAAACTAGAAGATTAAGTGTATTTTTCAACCGATTCGAGTATGAATATGGCATTAAATCTGGTTTTGAAAGTTGGTGCACAGGTAAAAAGTGAGTAATTCCGACGAACATTCCATAAAAATTAAATTCGGTATTCCGAGGATAGCTCTAATAAAATTTCTAATGAATTCTTAGGTGTATTCCAAGGATATTCCGGTGATAATTTTTAGAAAATTCAAAAGAGATTTTCAAGGAAATTATGAGGAACATTTCAATGAGCTAATAGGAATTCTTAGCAGATCTAAAAATAAATTCCTATCGTAATTCCATGGAAATTTCAGGTGAATACCAAGTGCATGCTTAGGAGAAGATTAGGGAACGTGAGAAGTTTTCAAGGTCCAAAACTAGAAACCAATATTTGAAAAGCCAAACTTTGAAATTTAAGGTTGTGAACTTGACATAAATCAAATGGCTGAGACTTCATTCTTCTAATTCTGGGACCAGCGAATTCGGATTAGCAATTTTCCGGTTTTTCCTGATAAACTCGAAAGCGGAAAGGATCACTAGGTTAAATGGGTCATTACTAAGACAGCAGCATTTTTCCTGAGTCTAATTCGGACCTGTGTTCGAATTCTTCAACATTGGTCTATATTTTAACTTCCCTGAAAATTTAATCAAAAATCTTTACAGGATTTCATTAGCATATTCCGAAACATTTCCTTTCTCGGCGTTAATTTCAAAAATTCTTCTATAATAAGATTGAGATTCTATCTGAGAGTCCCTAAAAATAATATTTTAACTGTCTAGAAGTTCTCTGCAGATCCATAAAAAAAAACCCTAAAATTCATCCTTAGATTTTCATTAATTTTAAAGCTTTTCTAGAAATTCGCTGAATATTCCTGCTATAATTCTATTCAAATTCACTTTAATTCTCCTTTGAATTCCCAAACAATTCACTTCAGAATTGTCTAAAAATTTTGTGCAGAATTATCTTTATCCTTTAAATTCTTCTGCAATTTTGCTTAGAAGTTTCTTTAAAACTCTCTAGAAATTCGTATCGCGATGCCCTTGGAATTATCCTCGGAATTTTCCTTAAATTATCATCAGAATTCCTTTGGAATTGTACGCTCAAATTTCGATTTACTTGGTATTTTTCACTGATCCTGGGATCCTCTTCATAAGTGATCCACAGACTATTTAAAATTTGTACTCTGACCTCACAGGTGACATGGAGTTACAGTTTACAAAGATTTAAAGGTGATTTCCAAAACTCGCTATGATTTTCTCTAAAAAAATCCTGGTGTTATCCATTCTAAAATCTTCTCAAAATTCCTTCGAAATTCCTTGAAGGGTCTGTGCCTAGGGGCACGAACGGTGGCTTGACGTAGGACCGATAGTGGACGGAACAAATGTGAAGATCAGTTAGTTCTTTTAATTGATCGATCATCTATCTTAACTCTTTCCGTTTTTGAATTGTAGGCGTACTCAATTTGTAGTATTTTTTTTTAAAGAGAAAGTTGATGAAGAGAATCGATCAAAATCACTTGCACCCCTGCTTCTAAGTTTGGTTACAAGGGTTCAATCCCAGTCGGCGCCGCCGGGATGTTCTGATGCATAACATCTCTGATCACGCCTTCCTTCGGAAGATAAGTAAAGCCGTTGGTCCCCGGTTCATGAGCTGATGGGTCGATAGGTAGGGTTCAGGTGTGGGAGCTGCCTCCCTGGCGTCGGTAGCATTGGTGCTCAGAACGGAAGATCGACGGAAAACAAATCAAACACCTTCAGCACACCTCGTAGATCAGACCGGAGATGCGTTTAACACGTTTGCGATGACGCTTGGCGCCTTCTTTACCAAGACCTTTTCCTCCCTTGCCACGATCAGTCATTGTTGCCTGTTAGGTAGAAGAGTGGACTACTTAACCTGACACCACTTTCCTAAAGAGCCTGAATTTATAAAGAGACGATATGTCAGAATTGGAACAATCGATTATCTGTCAAAGTCATAGGAAAAGTCATTCCAATCGAGCAGAAGACCTGTCAAATGGATAAGATGTCGCCTCTTTATAAATTCAGGCTTTTTACACTTTCCTACTGCTGCTATTGCTGCTTGTGCTGCCTGCTCACCACGCCGTCCGAAGCGAAAATGAGTTGAGGCTAGACAGCAGCGCTCTTTTATATCTTTTCAGGTTAAAGCAGAATGATATGCAACCAAGTGGTACTCGATTATGACGACTGGGTTTGGGAAGAACGTTTATTTAATGAAAAAAGTGATCAAATTATCACCTTTTATTTGTACATTGGACAATGCTTGACATTGACCCTTATTACGAGTGTCACTTCACGGTGAATACAAAATTAAGTGACAAGTTGTCATTCTCGGTGAAGTGATTCCCGAACAAATCAAATGGGAATCACTTCACTTCGTATGCACCGTGTAGTGAGGCACCCGTAATAAGGCCCATTACCACTTTTTCAATAATTTATTGTTGAAAAATATTGAAATTGATCCAGGGGCAGCTGAGTTATTAATGTTCAAAATCTCTCATAATTTTGTTCTCATGTTCCATTCTCGGTTTTCACAAAGTGTACCCACATATAGAAATCACAGACGTAATCCTACGCCAGAAAATGCTAGTCTAGTTCAATAATCTTAAGAATTTTTGAAGGTCCAACATCTAATTTTTTGCAAAAAAAGAAAAAGTAAATGGGAGCTATTCCGAGAGTCGAAGTGACTTTCGTCATTAGTGCAGTGAGAAAAGTTACATTGTTTCACTAAAAATAATATAATCCGTGAAATTAGCGACATCCGCGCCTGTTGTGTTGCCTGTGTGAAACGCTTCATTTTCCCACAATGGATTGAATGATTCGTCCACACAGATATCTTCATAAATATTCGTTAATAAAACGTCCAAATAGCAATTTTGTTGGTTTTTAATGTGCTTAATTTGGTTCAGTCGTAAATTAGCAGTTTTGTAAAAAATGAACTGCAATGTTTCATTATCCCCACCGACTCGGAGTAAGGTACTTTCATTTTGGGTGGTTTTGAACCTGTCAAACTCTAGTTTTATTTAATGCAAAACAACAATGAATTGTCAAGGCTGGCTTGACACACTTTACTGAAGTTCAACTGCCTTTTAGTTGGGACGTCACCCAAGTAGCGAACTGATATGAATGTATACGCAATCATTGCTCTGTGGGTACTAAAGTGCCTGGAGAGAGTGTGACGACTCGTCAAAATTGGAACAATTCTAGATAGAACTGGAATTAGGGCGGAACAGCTTTTGTAAACAATGACTTCTCTCGATGATTTCTAGAAAGCCAAGGCTCGCCACTCAAATCAACGTCACCATCGGTAGGGGAAGACTTCCCCTTCTCGTTGGCTATGTTGGTTTGTGTGGGCGTGCCTTGAGTTTCGAGAAATCATCGAGAGAAGTCATTGTTTACAAAAGCTGTTACGCCCTAATTCCAGCTCTATCAAGAATTGATTATTTATTTTATTCAGTTAACGGCTTGGAAAATGTTATTCTAATCGAGCAAACTGTCAATTGGATGAGATGTCGTCACTCTCTCTACAGGTACTCTTTCTATCATTCGAAAGTGTGCTTTGAATATTTTGTTGAGCTACGATTTTTTGCGAATTCGATTTGCTCACATTTATTATTTAGGAACTTTAAAAAAAAGTTACGCGAGATTTGTTCACAGGACCCGGTTAGTGTGCAACGTTTCTGATTTGACATCACCTACGAAAAACAACAAACATCAACTTCTCAGCAGTCGCAGAGCAAGCTCGGAATCAAGATTGCCTGCAATCAGCAAACACTGATGCAACAATAGCCATCCCCGGTAATCTTGTTTTCACTTCCATACACACAACATTCACGTCCGAGATGATGATGTCGGCAAGGTGCTTACCCGTACACATATAGCAGCATACAAAGGCGAAGAGGAGCATCTCGCACGGTCGGTGTATGTCGGAGAACCGTATGAATGCGGAGGTAGGTGTCTTATTTGTTTATATCAGAATACGCGCTGAACAAAATGGATCCCAGTCACGTTAGTCAGTCAGAGCTACACTGTGCAAGAGCATGCTCTCCGATGGGAATAGGGTTGATTTGGTTTGCCGTGGTGAGCGCGAGCATTAATTTGTTTATTTTGTGACTACCTGGTAAACATCATTCAACGGCATACATGTAATGAAATAAATTCTCCAGTTCTTATAACTTCACATTACCAACACAAGAGACGATGAAAACGCTCGAAGCGCGTGGTTTGTAAGCGCGTCTGTACGCCACGTGATTGATTGATTCTTCATCGGTTCAACCGGAAAATGGCCATTCTAACACAAACAGAACATGGTTTCAAAATAAGAAATTACTTACCAGTAACGAACTCCACGTTGCAAAGTTTGTTCAGGATTTTCCAACTCGAAAAAAATGCGACTCTCCGAATTGCGAATTGGCACAAGAAAAAATAAAAGACAGTAAACGTAGCTCCTCGCTCGCAGCAGAAAAACAACAATTTCCAGATAAACACTTTGTAGGAATAAACACACGCACACAACGCACAAACACACTGGAACGGAGAGGCAAGCTTTTCTTCCTTTGCGTTTGCACTTCGGAACGACGTGTTCTGCTCTCTTTCCCCTGTACAATACACAACAATCGCTGGTCCTGCCTCCTGAATGATGGGGGAACTGATGGCCAAAGAGATCGATATTCCAATTTCGGAGCGCAAGTTTTTTTTTTTTTTCGTCGTCGGTTAGGCTGTTTCTCTCTCACTCACTGCTGACTGCGCTTTGCACGAAATTCACTCATTCACTTCACTTCTTGGTGTTCTTCAGTGTTTTCCGTTTTCACTGCTGAGTGCTGCGTGTTTTTCACTGAAGAGTGCTAAAATGGGTTCGATTGCCGTTGGTGTTGTTGTTGTTGTCTATCGCTGTTCGTTCTACACACTGAAATTTGCTTTGCACTCACTTACTCGCACTGTGGGGTGGGTCTTTAGCGTTTATTCGAAAATAACACTACCGTTTTTTTTTGCTGCCTTGTTTATATGTTTTTCCTTGTTGATGTGCACCGTATTATAGAGAACAGTCTGCAAAAAAAGGGGACAGGAAGAAAACAAAACAAAATTATTAAGGCGCATCAACAAACGACACATAACAAGCTATAGTGGCATAAAATGACTGATACGTTGTGGTTGCACGTATAACGACCTAACCAGATCGGGACCGGAGTTTGTGCTGCTGGCTACTTTAATCAGCATACACACGTAAAGCAGGGTTGCCAGTTTTGAAAGAGAGTTCTTCAGTTATTGGAATAATGGAATATTGGATTCTAGTGAGACTAACGAGATCTGACGGAGTAAGAGCCAATTTATGGCAAGCATAGACCAAAATAGAAAAAGTTCAATAGCTCAGTAATCTTTGAGATTTGATCATATGCGTAGAACAATTTTTTACTTCAAATATGATCTTCTATCGCCCCTTAAATTATTTGCACTAAGGAACCGAACACCCTGTATATGGGCGGCATTCACACTACATACTTTGAATTGCTTCCTTCCTGATTAAATATATGTAACTAACACAACATAGTTTTTCTTCTACTTCTTCGTTACATAATTTTAAATATAAATTAGATTAACTAATATGCTACCGAAGGGGATAACGTCTTATTCAAATATGATTCTTTTTGCAGAGTGATGAGATAAAACAAACTTCGTTGCTAGGTGGTGCTATGGTTTACTATGTTGCTTATCGTTGATTACAATGCGCTACTTCGATAACAGCACTCCTCCTTAAACAACGAATCCAACGAACTTCTTTGGTTCTTCTAGCTTCTGCTTTGCCAGGGCTTTTGTGAGCCCATCTGCAGCCTGCTGCTTTGTGTTCACATATCGCAGCTCGACGACTCCTTGCTCTAGTACATCTCGGATGAAGTGTGGTTTCGTTCGGGGAATGTATCCTTGATTCCGTGCAATACAGATGGCTGATTGGTTGTCACACCGGATGGGGATACTTTGCACATCAAAAATCTGCGACTGGAAGTAGTTCCACCAAAGAGCTTCCTGGACCGTGCGGGAAAGCGCGATATATTCCGCTTCGCACGAGGACAACACAACCGTTGGCTGTCGCTTGACGTTCCACAATACTGCTCCTCCCATGAAAGTGAAAACGTATCCAGTAGTGGATTTCCTGGAATCCGGATCTCCTCCGGTATCGAACTAAATCCATGCAATTTTCCTTTGAATACGTTAGCCGATTTGAACTTGTGCCTTACAAATACCGCATGATGCGTTTGACAGCGTTCCAATGACTACGTCCAGGATTCGCGTTGAATTGGCTGACTTGATTTACAGTGAGACAGCCTACTGCCTCCTGATAAGGAACCACGCTTGCTGAAACTCCTCAAACTCACTAGAGGTTTTAAAACACTCTTGTCCTGCTAGTTTAGCCAGCCCTCACCTCGAGTGAGTGGCGGCAGGAATATGGAAGAAGTAAACAAAAACTCCTCAAGAGAGAGAGAGGGAGAGTGAACTTCAGTGAGAGGATGATTTGACGTGAGGTGCGCTTTTTGAGACTCCGGATGACTTTTTTGTTCGACGCAAGAAGATCAGAGTTCATCCAAAGTGAGAGTAAAGCCGACAACATAGTAGAAGCGATTCGATGCGATAGCAATTGGCAAAGCGAAATGCAGCGGCAAGCGAAGCAACCTATGACATAGTGAAAGCGTTTTTGAAAACATTACAGTCGCGCGCGCAGTGCAAAATATTTGTTCACTCACTGCATCCGCTGTAAAGTAAATAAAAACATTATATTAATTATGAAATAAATCACTATTTACACTTACTTGTTGCCTCTCCTCCCAGCTCACAGGAAACTTGTCGCCAAAGCTTATCGACCATCAACCGGTTCCGGTACTGTTTCAATGTTTTGTCCCACAGCGCTTTTCTCGTAAAAACGAGAGCAATCAGATTTTCCGAATCGATTTCGGTGTCCATTTTTCCTCACTAGAATCAGTCCACTTGCGTTCGAAGGCGTCAAAACACAACACGAACAGCTCTGTCGCTTTGCTGAACGCTTTACACCTCTTCGCATCGCTTTCACTATGGCTGGTTTGGGCGATTCCCATAGAACGCTCATAGAGGGTGCTTTCACGCAAGCGCTCCGCTTATTGCCAACGAATCGAATCGCTTCGAATCGCTTCTACTATGTTGTCGGCCTAAGAGCGTGTGATAGAAAACATGAACATCAATGGAAGCACCTCACCAGCTCTGAAGCTCAGTAGAATAATTTGGCAGTAGGCATTCTACTCCTTAGAAAAATGATACGCTCGGCTCATTTCAAACTCGAGTGAGGCTCCATCTGTGCAGCCTGTATGGAATCTCCTTCATCTCACGAATTTCGTCCGGTGTTATCGCTGACATTGTTTTGTCCAGCTTGACACTCGCCTCCGCTGGCGATTGCAGTTTGCCAGATTGAACCGTCGCAATATGCTGTCGATGTAACGCTCCTGATCTACCCACAACTTTTCGTTCTTCCTATCCGACGTGATCCGCAGGCCCAGACAGAAATTCACTTCCCCAAGATCCTTCATCTTGAAGCGATTGTGGAGAAATGATTGCAATTTCCGCATTAGCTTGGCATCGTTGGTGAAAATCATCCACATAAATGGTGACAAAAATCATCTTCGCACCGTCGACCCGGAAGTACAGACACGGATCAACTTTTGACTGCTCTAGCCCGAATTTGTCAGTGCTTTGTCCAGCTGCTTATTCCGCACACGGTATAGTTGTTTTGATGTGCCAGCAAATCCTCTTGATAGCTCCAGGTAGATGACCGCTTCCGTTAGATTGCCCTGAAGGAACACAGTAACCGCATCCATCTGCTCTACATCAAGTTCATGCTTCACAGCCAGCGCCAGAAGGTATCTGATTGTGGAATATCGTACGACCGGAGAATATACTTCATACCTCTTCACAACCAGGCGCGCCTTGTACCGCTCGATGTCGTCGGTTGGCCTTCGCTTTTTCTTGAAGACCCACTTGTTTCGAATTGCCTTCCTGTCACTTTGAAGGTTGGTGAGCTCCCACGTTTCGTTCTCCTCCAAAGCTTCGAGCTCTTCCCGCATGGCCGCAATCCACTGTTCGCGATCCGACCCGTTGAGTACCTGGTCGTAGCTTTGAGGATCGTCGAACCAACCGGTGAAAACTAATGATTTTAAATTGGCTCACTACATGACTAGCCTATTGGTCCCAAGCAAATCGATTAACGTACGCCATTCTAGTCGAAATGCTAGTACTACACTATGTTTGTTTTGATTCGCTATGAAAGTTTGACAGATGAAATTAGGGATTCGTGGATTTTCCTATGTTTCGAGGGGTGCATCGATTAGCTTGGGACCGAAGAGAGTACCAGAGCTGAGCCAAAAAGTTGAGCACGTTTCTTCGGGACCTTCTGGTCTTAGAGTTACGTCTATGGTCGAACTACTCCTCCGAAATCATCGATGTGGGCTGGGGGGAAACAACTTCGCCAGAAAACGAACTATACATAACGAAATCTGAATACCAGCCTGGAATTCAGCAGCTGGTTGTCTGCATCCAGGAACTCGGGATCACTTGCGTCGCTGTCGGGTGTTGCAGATACTTCAACTTCGTCGTCGATCACGTCATCGTCATCAACAATCGGGTGAAGTTCACCAGTTGCATTCGACCCATTGATTGTATACAGCTCCATGAACTGTATCTGCTGCTGATCCTAAGTGAGTTCGATCAAATTTTGCGGTTCTTCGTCCTGAACTACAACCACGGCACGGCTGATCCGGATTTCACGCTTGATCGGATTGTACACTCGGTACCCCTTGGTATCGTCGGTGTATCCTATGAAAACTGCTTTCTCGGATTTGGCATCGAACTTCTTGCTTCGGAACGTGGACAAGCGCTAGCGACCCAAAAATTTCGCAAATGTCACAATTCGGGTTTCTTACCGCTTCAAGCTTTGTCTGGTATCGTCTCGAGGGACCTCGATGGACTCCTGTTGACGAGGTACACTGCCGTTGAAACCGTCTCGGCCCAAAATTCCTTCGGGAGACATGAATCGTTCACCATGCTTCGGGCCTTCTCAACGAGAGTCCGGTTCGTTCGTTCATCCTCAGAACTGTCAGCTTTCGGCCACGGACTTGAACTTCATGTACACTTCAAATGCTTAGCTTTTTCGTTCCAGGAAGTAGAGAAATACTTTCTGACTAGCATCGTCGATGAAAGTCATCACGTAACGGCGACCACCGAGGGAAGGAACCTCTATGGGTCCAACCAGGTCCGATTGAACTAAGTCCAACAGACCTTCAGCTCGCGACACACTGGAAGGAAAAGGATTACGTGTATGCTTACCCTCGACACGGGCGATGCACTGCGGGATAACGTTGCCATCATTCTCGCGAACTTCGCACTTCTCTTCGTCGAAGACCACCGTCAGTCACTTCACTGAGCTCTAACTTGACCAGACCCTTCGCCACTGACATCATGCTGCCGTTGTTCGCCGTTCTCACCGGGTGTTCCACCAGAGTCAAAATACCACTCCTTTTCGCTTACCTCGCCCATCGCAAAAACGCTGCACAAAGCTTTCCCAGACGTTCTTGGCGGGTTTTGCTTTTGTGGACACTTGGCTGCATAATGTCCCAACTTCTTACAGTTGTGGCACGTGTCGTCCTTTTTCGCCGAACCATTGTTGCTGCCACGCCGTCTCGACTTCGTATCGGAATACAACGCTCCGTCGCCGCCGTCGTTTACATAATTTTCGCCTTCACCGAATCCGATATCAATGCAGTACCCGATGCTTCGAGTCCCATAATCATGGACTCATAGTGCTCCGATAGCCCCATCAGTAGCAATGCAGCCAGTCACGAGTCGTCGACGCTAAAACCGATTCCCGCTGTAGACATCAGTTCTTCGACGTACAACGCGTATAGACGTAAGCTTCTCCCAGGCCTCCTTGTTCGGTGTCTCCAGGCTCAAGCAAATTGTGGCTAACGCTCGCAAACTGACTTCTTCGTCGATTATCTGATCCTATGGTGGCGATACCGCGTACCAGGTCC